TCCTTCCTTCCTTCCTTCCTTCCTTCCTTCCTTCCTTCCTTCCTTCCGACAGTTTTCACTATGTAGCCCAGGCTGGCCTCAAATTTAGGATTCTGCCTTCTTCTGAGTGCTAAGATTACAGGCAAGTCACTATTGAAGAGAGAGTGGAGAGGAGGAGTGAGAGATTGAGATTGACCCCAGAGGCTCACATACGGTAGGTATTTTCAGCCCATATTTATTTACTTAGTTTAGAAAATTATGTGTATATCTGTATGGGTATGTGCACAAATGCAGGTACCCATGGCATCCAGAAGGTGGCATTGATCTACTTGATCTGTAGTTAGAGGTGTTTGTGGGTCCTGTTTTTTCAAACAGAATTTGAGCAGGATTGATATTTCCTAAAAACTTGGAAGAACTTACCAAAAAAGACTTTGGAAGTTTTTAATTAGTGATTCAGTTTTTTTCTTTAATTTCTTTATAGGGTCATTTGGATTTCCAGTGTCTTCTTTTATTTACATAGGTATGTGCCTGTGTGGGCAGGTCCCTATAGATCAGAAGACAGCTTGTGGGGTTGGTTCTTTCCACCATGTGGGTTCTTGGATCAAACTTGGGTCATTAGTTAGGGGCATAGGCACCTTTACGTGTTGAGCCATCTTGCAGGTCCAGAGTTTCAGTTTCTGACTTCGTTTCTGTTACAGTTTGAAAGTGGAATGTTCCCCATGGCTTACATACTAATTTGCATTCTAGTGACACTATTTGGGAGTCGTGGAATCTTTCTGGGTTAGCTTAGTTTATTGGCTTCTGGCCAGTCTCTCTGTTTTCTGATAGCCAATACAATGTAGACAGCTTTCTCATGCTTCTGCCACCATTCTTTGTATACCGTGAGAGATTCACTGTCACACTATGAGCCTAAATAAATAAACAAATAAATTCTCCCCCTCTTAAACTGCTATTCGCTGTTTTGTCACAGTGATGAGAAAAATAACTAGTAACTTCAAAATAATTTATATTTCTGGGAATTTGCTCATTTTTTCTGGATTATCTAATTTGTTGGTGATTGATTGGTGTAAGATTAATAGCAATGTCTCCATTAATATTTCTGATTCTAGTGTGTATACTTCTTTTTCATTTGTTAATTTGGCAAATGTTTGTTAACAATTTTTTTCAAGAAACAAAACGTGTTTTTTAATTGTGCATGTGTCTATATGTGGGAATATGGACATGATTTTGGGTGACCACAGAGGCCAGAGGTATTGGTTCTTCCAAGAGCTGGAGTTGTTTCAAGCTGCTGTGAGCTGCCTGACATGGGTGCTATGAACTGAACTCAGGTCCTTTGAAAGAGCAGTAGTATATGCTTTTAACTGGGTCATCTCTGGCCCTAAGAAACAACTTTGGGGCCTGGTGATGGAGATCAGTTGGTAGCATCTTGACTTAGCACTCATAAGGCCCTAGCTTCAACCCCTAGCAATACATAGATCTGTTGTGGTGGCACATACCTGTAAACCCAGCACTGGGGAGCTGGAGGCAGGAATATATCAGAAGTTCAAAGTCATCCTTGACTTAAAGCAAGTTGGTAGGGCCAGGTGATTGTTGGCATACTTTAAAAAAACCCTTTTATTTACATTTCTTATGTCTTTTTCTCTACTCCACCCCAATCCCGTCTAACACCCCAACACCAGGTAGGAGAGAGAAGGAGTTAGTGGGAGAGGGGTGCAGTTCTCTTAGTTGCTTCCTGCTGGTTAGGATTATCGGGTTCCCTGGAGCCAGTCCAATCCTTGTTTCAGGGGAGCTCCAGCTTCTTCTTACTGTATCAACAGCAACCAGAAGAAACGGGGGAATAGCAGCAGCCTTGTTCTTTCTCAGAACTCTTTTACATGCTCTGGGCTCTGGCATTTATTCTCTCTCCAGAATCCTCAGATTTAAACTATCTGCAGCTGGCAGGAGGAAAAAACCAAAAAACCAAAAAACCAAAAAAAACAAAAAAACCTCATCCTATAACAGTTAAAAGCACTTGCTGCTTGTGGTGGTTTGAATGAAAGTGGCTCTCATAGCCTCATTTATTTTAATGCTTGGTCCCCAGTTGGTGGCACTGGTTGGTGTTAGGACCAAATAAATGATGATGTGCACAGCAGATTTTATATGAAAGAGGTTTATTAGATGAGATGGAGAGAGAGGAGGACAGAGACAGACATGATAGGGGGAAGAGAGGGGGCGTCCCAACAGAGAAAGGGGAGAGGGCAAGAGAGAGCAAGATCCAAGAGAGAGACAAAGTGGCAGGTTGGTCCTTTTAAGGAACAACATAACCACGTCTGCCAGGTGTGGCTACCTGGCCTGCAACACATGATGACATCAGAAGTTGATAGGCAACCCAGAAGCAGGCTGCCTAAATACTAACAGTTGGGAAGGAGTAGGAGATGTGGTCTTGTTAAAGGAGGTGTCTCACTGGGGGTAGGCTTTGAGGTTTCAACAGACCATACCATTCCTAGTCTCTCTCTGCCTCCTGGTTGTGTCTCAAGATGTAAGCTCTCAGCTACTGCTCCAGTGCCATGCTTGCCTGCCTGGTGCCATGCCTCCCTGCCATGATGGTCATAGACTCTAAACTGCTGAAACTGTAAGCCTCAAATAAACTCTTTTCCTCTGTAAACTGCATTGGTCATGGTATCTTATCATAGCAATAGAAAATTAAGACAGAAGCTGGTACCAGGAGGAGGGTATTACTGATAGGCCTGACCTTGCTAGTTTTTGGAGGAATGTGGAAGATTTTGGGACTTTGTACAGGAAGAGTGGTTGGAGCTATGGTAGGGATTAACAGACCGTCCTAGTAGGAGATTAGAAGAGAATAATTTTGAGAGCAGTGTGGACTATGGAGGCCCTCAAGAGGTTTCAGAGGGGAACAATATTAGCAAGTGCTAAAGACCATTGTGATATTTTGCCTGTGCCCTAAGATTCCACCTTAGGCTAAATTGAAAAGTAATGAACTTTTTTTTTTTTTTCTCATTTTGGTTGAGATTTCAAGACAGCCTAATATTGATTCTGTCATGTGGTTAGTGTGGTTATTTATAATCATTCTTATGCATGTCTACAATGAAAAAGAACAAATGAGGCAGAAAGACATACAAAATGTACATAAGAAGTAAAAAAGAACACTATGAAATTTAGTGTTGGAGCCAAGGCTTGTGCTGAAAGAGATAAGAGGTTTAAAGAAAGGCCTGCTAAGAAATGTAATAGAGGGAGTGGTGCCCTCAGGTCAAGACCCCACTCAACTAAGCTTCTAACTTGTGACCAAGAAAGGTCTGAGGAATTTTCTGCTCCTAAAAAGCAACAAATGGGGTCTTGAAATTGCTCTTGTAGAGAACCTGGATTTGTTCCCAGAACTTATGGCACCTCACAACTCTATGACTCCATTTCCAGGGACTCTGAATGCCTTCTGATTTCTACAGGCACTTCACACAAGTGATACAACTACACACGTGTAGGCAAAACACCCATACACATTTTTTAAAAAAAACTTTTAAAAATGATGTGAGAAACTTAAAAAACCAAGAAGGCACCTAGGGAATGCCTGTTTACCCCTCATTCTTCCATCATATGCAGAGAAGAGGCTCTGAGGGCACAAGAATCGGCTATCTAATCAGAAATCAACCACAACAGTTCAGTAGCCTGTGCTGGTTCAAACTTCAAGGGTCTGGACTCTGAGTGGTTTGTTTTAGGCATGTGTAAGCACAGAACAATTTGGTAAAAACTGTCCTGGTGATAAGTAACTCAATCCTGCATTCACAACGAAGTGTAATACCCAGATCTCAAATCCCCAAATGACCAACAGGATTTGAGTCCAATGCAAAACACATGAGGGACTTTTAATACAAACTCAGCTGGGTGGCTGCCCTTTACAAAAAGGGGCAAGCGACAACTCTGGGAGACCAAGGTTTTTAAAGGGACAAAATGCAGGCGGGGAAGTGCAAGTCTTGGCATTATAGGATTGGGTAAGAGGGTCTCTAGGAAACTGACCTTTAAAATGATTGGTCTATTTTTAGGCGCCAAGACTGCAAATGGTTAGGCCTGGCTAGTGGGGACACCTGACCCCCAGTACTGTCCTGTTATGTGCAGGTTAGGCTGTAGCAAGGGGGGTAGGGGCTAGCACATTCTGTGGATTTTCTTAGGGGCTATGTGACTCCAGTCACACCCTAAGGTTTATCTGGGTGGGGGACTGCTGCTGGACCTCTGCTCCGAAAGAACTACGATCTGGTGATTTTGCCCCAGTCCCAGGAATGAATTCTTAAGTTTTTGAACCTCATTAGCACATAGGAATCTCTTTGAGGAACAAAGTAAACTAACCACAGGTTAGAGGGTTCAATAAACCAGGCGTGGTGGCGCTCACCTTTAATCCCAGCTCTCGGGAGGCAGAGGTAGTCTGGTCTGCAGAGAGTCTGGGACAGCCACGGTGAGACAGAGAAACCCTGTCTCAAGAAACCAAGAAACCAACCAGTCAAACAAACAAATAAAAGAGAGGTTCTATAGTTTGACTGGGGGGTGGGGGGATCCAGTGCTGGAAAAGTCTCTGGACACACAGATCGTGCAAACATCACCTGATTCAGCCTGGCCTCAAACTCAGAGATCCACCTGCCTCCTGAATGCCGGAGCTAAAGGCATGTACTACCCCCTCCACCTCCACGTCCTCTCATAGCAGCCATTCCTGCTTGAATCAGACCATTTATGCCTGCCCGCTCCTCAACCTTTTTCTCATCCTCTTTCTCCTGGATTTGTACTTTATGACTTATACTTTCCCATTGCCATATTTATCAGCTTTCCTTGTAGATCTTTACATGTCTTCTGAACTCAGGCAGCAAATTGTTAGATTTTGTTTTTCTGAAGAGGACTAGAAGGCCCAGAAGCATTGAGTGGATTCTAGGATGGAAAAGAGCCTGTACCAACAAATAATCATTTATTTAGCTCTCATGGAGAAGGGAATGAGGAACCATGCCCTAGAGAGGGTCTGTCTTACCTAGCCAGCTATAGGAAATTGGTGGAGCCCAGTTTCCATAGATATTCTGGCACCTGAACAAGAGGGTTAACTTATCTCTTTAGTAATATTCTTCATGGTGAAAAGAATACTAATACTTAATGTTGGGCTCTGCATCACGTAGGTGCACGCTTTAAATCTCAGCACTCTGGAGACAGAAGCAGGCACATGGAACTTCATGAATTCAAGGCCATCCTAGTGTATACAGGGAGTTCTTGGCAGGTCAGTGTTACACAGTGAGAACCTGTCTCAATAAAAAAAATAAGAGAAAGAACATTAAGTTAGGAAGGTAGATAAGAACTGGGAGGGGGAAGAATATAACCAAAATGTATTATATGAAAAGTTTTTAAAAAACAATGTGACAGCACAAAAATGCCACCATCAGTGGTTTATATTGCATGGTCCAGATTTTTTTTTCTTAATTAGGTATTTTCTCTTAAAATATATAATTTGTCTTTGAAACAAATTTGACAGGGACTGGAAACAAGGCTCAGAATTTAACATGCTCAAGTATTCATAGCTTGTAGGTGATGCTAGGAAATCCCACTGCACAAGTTCTAAACTCTTTATTTCTAGGTAATTCAATATAAAGCTTAATATTCACACGTTTAAAAAAAGAGGGTAGCCAGCTCAGAGTCCAACCTTTCCACCTAGACATCGAGAACTCGTAGCAGGAAAGACATGTTTCCCCTTAATGACAGTAATAACACTTTACACCCCAGAGGTAGAGAAGGTCGGTTTCTTACAGAAATTAACATCAGAATTCGGGCCTAGGGAATGACGTCCGAAGGTCTGTTGGCCGGTCAGTGGCCTCAGGACAGGTCTGGCTCCGCAGGTGAGTTCCAGCCTGGGGCAGCGGGCCGGGCTAACGGCTGCTGCTGAGTCCTCTCCCTCGCCCCAGGCGCCGGCCTGCCCTCCGCCGGGAGCTGGGCCCACAGCACCCGACGCCCTAGCGGGGCGGGCGGGGGCGGCCTGCAGGCCCCTCCCCGGCGCCCAGCGGCAGCCGCGCAAGCAGCGGAGGAGGCGGGAGCGCCCAGGCCGCTGCGCTCATGGCGTCGCCGGGGTGAGTGGGGCGCTCCGGTTCCACGGGGGGCGCCTGTTGGGCAAGGGGCTAGCGCTAGCAGAGCCGTGCGTGTCCGCGACCCGGCGCCTGCTCGGCCTCGGCCGGACCCCGGCTGACTCTGTCCCGCCAGGTGCCTGTCCACGACCCGCAGCCTCCCCCGCCGACCTTGGGCGGTCGTGGCCGGGCCAGGGTCTCCCCGCAGGGCCGCTGGAGGAACTAGTCAGGGCAGCCTCCAGTCGGGGCCAGGGAGCTGGGGAGCCGGATCGTGGAGCGGGGCAGGAGGAAGCTGCGGGAGGGGACTCGGGGTTCCAGGTCCCAGCTGAGGCCCCGGAGAGGCTTAGCAGGCCTGACGTGTGTTTCTGGCGTTTGGACTTGGTTGTGTTGGAAGTTGATGCTAGGGGTTTACTGTCGTTAGGATGTCCCACAACGTCAGGGGAAGGGGCTGGACTGGACCCTTGTCCAGAGTCAGAAAGAGGATCCGGCGTCTAAGGCCCTGCCTGTCTGTGTTGGGTGGGGAGGTGTTAGGCTTCTGTGGGATGGCTACACTTGTTCTGGTATTACCTCTTTCCTGGTGTTTTCCCTCGCTCTCTCAAATAATGTTCTTTCTTAGGAAATAATAGTGACACATATCGTCTGTATGTTTTTCTCATTTTCTCAATAGTTTATTATTACATTTGATTAGATTTTTGCTAGTTATGAGATCTAAAATGACATAATTAGACTAATGTTTTTATGTTACCGATAGGAAAATGGGTCTCAAGGTCATAGCGTTAGTTGGTAAACATCTTTTTGACTGTACTTCATCATTCAGAGGTTGTTAGACCCGGGAGTACTGGTAGCAATTCAAACTGTGTATCTTTCCAGTGAAGAGGGCTTACAGGTGCAGGAGGACTTTGGGGCAAGCATGTAGATGTTATCCCTCCTACAAAGGCCATCTCTGCTGTGCTGTGAAGTGATTTGGCTCAGTGCAGTGGTCTGAATGAAGGTGAATGAAGCAATCTGAACTTGATCCAGGCCTGTAGGCGCCAGCCAGATCATGGGCAGTTTCCACCTGCCTAATGCGTTTCTAGGCTGGAGAGCGAGCAGGCACTTCTGGGACCAGGCCTTATTCATTGCCAGCTGAGTATCTAGTACTTTGAGCTCATAAGGAGAACAAACAGTGACCCATCCTGGGAAGGCCAGGCTGATGGACCCAGAAGTTCAAGGTCCCTCTGCATTCTTGCCCTGCCTGTTAGGAAAGTATAAGACAGGGCCTCTTGGAAGCAGCATAAAAGTGCTTGAATCTTTTGGCTTCTACTATTAGGCTTTTAAGAAATCATAGCACATTTTGTGTCTAAGCTTTGTAGACATGGGTCAGAGGAGGACCTACTACTGTATTAACAGTGCTGTAGGCTGGTAATGGCTGAACCATGATGTTTGTGGTTCTAGTTGTGAGTGACCTAATTAATTTGGGGTGTATAATAATTTATAATTTTCGAAGAGGTGTCCATTAACAAAACTGAGGTCATGAAACTTTTAATATACTTCATTTTAAGGAGGGAACTATGTGCTCACTTTGATATACATATGCTTATCGACTGCAGTTCACATCTCTAGATATTACTCCCACATATCCTCTTTAGTAGGCTTCTCTGACAGCTGAGAGAATGCCTCCTGGTATTCCTCACCTGTCACTCAGCTAGCTGCCTGCTGCCTGTATTATTTTATTATTATTATTATTATTTATTATTATTATTTTAGCTAGGGTCAGGCTAATGTAGCCATGGCTGGCCTGGGGCCTCAGACTGACAGAGATGTACCTGCCTCCAACTGTTACCATTAAACCTACTGCACTAGGTGTTTTAGAGAGCAAATGCAGAGCAATATATGGCAGAAATGGAAGGAGCTAGTCTTGGGGGGGTCTTCTAAATCTGATGTTCCTTGCTAAGTGTCAGTATCAGTGATAAGATGTTAGAACTAGGGAGGGAAAAAAAATCTTAACCTGTTTTGAGGACCTTACAGATGTGCTAGGCCTGGTGTCAAGGAAGAAAAGATGTTTGAGAAATTATGCCTAATCCACTGTGGCTTGAACTAAGTGGAATCTAAGTAGAGAAGGCAGGGACTGTGGACTCTGCCTACCACCGAAGGGCATTTCTGGTCAGCTTGATCACCACTCTAGGAGAATCCTTGTAACGGCACTGTAACGGCAGTGTAGAGGGAGAGAGGGAGTAGGAGAGCAGACAGGAGACAGCAAACACAGAGCTCCCCCATCTGCTGCCATGGCTCCTCCTATTACAGTCAGCCTAATCAAAAGTCAGCACTTGAAGTTCAGTCTCAGCACCGCATAAACTGGGCCTACTAATGCTTGGTAGTTCTAGCACTTTGGAAGTTGAGGCAAGAAGATCAGAAGGTCAAGGCCATCCTCTTAGAAGAGGTCAGCTGGGGATACATGAGAACCTGTCTTAAAAGAAAAAGAACTTTGGAATGTTAACAATGGTTTTAACAGTGCTTATGTTTGTCTACCACCCAAATGAAAGGTAGGTAAATCTCTGTCAGTCTTGCTCTCACTCTTCATTTCTTGTCTACACCCATGTGGATTTTCCACCTGTCTAGATTTTGCTGTCTTGATAGTTGGGGATTCCTCGGGCTTTAGTCTGTCTCTGCTCATCTCAACACATATATTCTGCAATTGTCATGTCTATTTCTATGGGTTTAACCATGGGTTGTTGATTTACAGTTCATAAGTAGGCTTTTAGGAATCTTTGTGTTCCTTGAAATTGTGTTCAGTGTTGGGATGGTGGGTATTGTCCTGGAAGCAAAATCTAGCTATTGTTGGGTTCAAGACAAAGCATGACCGTGTAGCCCAAGAAGGCCTTGGGTTTCTGTTTCTCCAGCTCAGCCTCTGGAATGCTGGGATTACTGACCTTCATGAACCCTGCTCTGCTCATCCTGTTCTCAAAAGCAGCCTCACTCTTACCAGTATCACAACCATCCATCCTGAATTTCCTGATTCTTAAACGTTTCCCGTTACCATTATTGTCTGTTTGTATGTGTGTTGAGGCAGGAGTGTATTTTTTCAAGTGGAAGTCAAAGGAAAACTTCAGAGTCAATTCTTTCCTACCACCTTTATGTAAGTTCTGGAATTGAACAAGTTTGCACAGAGACACCCTTTACATTTTCTGTAAGACTGCCTGCCTCTCTTAAAATACTAATGTCAGTTTCGTCAATATCTTGAGAGGGTTTCTTATAAGACACCCAGCAAATGTATGAAACTGTGGATAATGTCAGACTTTTTGAGACAGGGGTCTCATGTAGATTGGGCTGGCCACAAACTCACTGTGTTCCTGAGTATAACTTTGAAGTCCTGATTCTCCTGCCTCTACCTCCCAAGTTCTAGGGTTACAGAAATGCACTACCACTCCAGCTAATATAGCTGACCTTTATAATCTTTACTTTTTAGGGTTATTTATGTGCATGAATGTTTTGCCTGTATGTATGTATGTATGTATGTATGTGCATCACATGTGTGTCTGATATTTAAGAAAGTCTGAAGAGAGCTTCAGATCCCCCTGCAACTGGAGTTACAGATGGTTGAGTCACTGTGTGGGTGTTGGAACTTGAATCCAGGTCTTCTGTAAGAGCAATAAATGCTCTTAACTCTTAACACTTGAGCCAACTCTCCAGCCCCTAGCAAATTTTTTTGTATGTGTTTTTTTATTATATACACACTCCTATGTAAAGTTTAATTTGTAAATTACAACTAGTTATAAAAGTAGAACATTACAGTATGTAAAATATACTATAATAACAGTTTGTAATTGAGGCCATTAGTAAAGTAAGAGTCACTTGCACACAAGCTGTGATGCTGTGACAGTTGACCTGGTAATCAGATAATCAGAAAGATTCTTAAGTGACTAACAGGTTGGTGGCATACATCACAGATACACTAGCAAAGGGATGAATCATGTCCTGGGTGTGACTGGACTGGAGGCAGGAGGCCTTCATGCTGTTGAGAACAGTATGAACTTTGAAACTTAGGAATTATTTATTTTTCAGCTTAGTATTTCTAACCTGTATTGGCCACAAGTAACTAAAACTCTGGAAGGTGAAGCTATAGGGTGTGCATGTGTGTGTGTTGTATTTTATGTAGTCTGTTACATATGAAATTAGATATCTCCTTGTGCCTCAGCAGAGTTTGTGTTCATTGCTCTGTTTTGTTTTGTTTTTTTGGAGGGACGTTCTGGGGAATGAACCAATGCAAACCAAATAAGTTCTCTGTCTGAAGTATGTCTTTTAAAATTTTTTAAATTATTTTTTAATTTATTACAATTTATTCACTGTGTATCCTGGCTGTAGCCCTTTCTGTCATTCCCTCCCAATCCCGCCCTCCCTTCCTCTTCTCCCTGCCCCTCCTCCAGGCAACTGATAGGGGAGGTCCTCCTCCCCTTCCATCTGACCTCAGGTCTCATCAGGACTGTCTGCGTTGTACATCTTATTCGTGAGAGTGAACTAACTCATCTTCAGCTGAGATTAACATACATGCTAAGAAGGGAAAATGCTCAGGCTGAGGAAGGAAAAAAAGATATAGCTGTCAGAGGTGCCAAGTTAGAGAGGAGCCATGACTGAGTGGGACTGGGATGGGAAACTTAGTGAAGGCAGGAGTGTGATGATCAGGATGAGGGGAAGGCAGCAGTAGATAGGAACCCAAGGCTGGTGCTGGGGAAGGAAGGAGCCTAGGTAGGGGTGTCTCCTTCCTCCCTTCTTCCTTCCTCCCTTCTTCCTTCCTCTCTTTTTCAGTCTTTTCTCTTTGCCTATTTTTTGAAAAGTATCTATCTATCTATCTATCTATCTATCTATCTATCTATCTATCTAT